GACTCTGTCTGCTCAGTCAGTTCAGACTCCTGTGGACTTTTGGATGCAGATGAAGACAAGCGGGTCCACTAATCAGACACCCGCTCCAAGGCGGAGGGCTGCCGCAGAGGAGGCGGCTCTGCCAGCCTAGGGACCCCCCCAACCCTTGGGGAAAACACAGCCCTGGTCCTCTGAGGGATGGTCTCAGAGCCGTCCCTGTCCACGTGGGTAAGATGTGGAGCGGGCTGAAGCTGAACGGTCAGATAAAACACAAACCACAGAACAAAAGTGGGAACCGCAAGCTATTTTATTAACACATCTGGCCAATTACAATACAGTTCAAAACACATTTTCCAGTCTGGAATCACACAAATGATACACATAACAATACATTTTTTCCAACTATGTCACTACTGTTCTTCACATCTATTCCTGATAAAGCTGTCACAGTGATTAGGGCAAAATAAAAATGGGGTAAAACAAGGCAACACCATCTCCCGCAAATGTACGTGCAGTGTGTAGGGTAGAAACAGGAAGTAGATCAACCCAGAGGAAAGCAATTCAGTCACCTCTTGATTTCTGAACTCTCAATGCACTCCCAATAAACACAGCTTCAGACTCCACATCAGAGCTGGCAGCCTAGCGTGAACAGCGCATACGCATTACGGTTAGGAAGGGTCAGAGTCAGCGAGAGCAGTGACCATGGGTCAGACGGGCCGGCACTTCCCAGTGGAGTAAGAGGTGCTACTACTAACACTGACTCATGCAAAAGAGGTCCTGCAGAAGCAGAGGGATAAAACAGGGGGATTAATCACACCGCTAACCGTGCACCCGGACGCTGGCATCTGTGGAGCGCCACACACTCCTACAGTCAAACTGCAAAATAACAGAATTCAAATGTTATTCTCTCCAACCAGAGACCTGGAGGAATAAATCATGAGTAAAAACCTGTCAAGGCAAAGGTTTAGACGGAATCGAGTTGTAAACAGGGTGCAAACACATTCACAACTTTCTTGCACCCAGAGAGGAATTCTCAGTGTTCATCTTGGGCAGAGGAGCAAGAACACAGCACCGTCACCAAATGAAGAGTCCATCACCAAAGCAGGTGGGTGGGAGGAGAGTGTGGACATCAGAGAGGGGAGGGAGAAAGAGAGTGGAAGCCTTGCAGAATGAGAAGGGAACTCGGAGAGGCGGATGGTGGGCGGGGTCTGGCAGGGAAGGTCCGAGAGGAGAGGAAGGAGAGGGGCGCAGGAGAGCCCTTGCTGACGGGGCCCAGCCCTGGACCAGCAGGAGCAGGAAGAGAACGGAAACACCCAACAAAGAGAACCAGCTCAAGACGGAAACAGCCAGCTTGGGCTTTGCTGTTGTTGAACCTGGAAATTAAACAGTGGAATTAAAGCCTTCGAGTTAAAATCCTCACAGAGGAAGAATAATTCTGGATCCCATGCCTGTGAAAAGCAAAGCTGAGTTATAAAAACGAGTGATTATTTGCTTTTCGGTAGACAGTATAAATGTGTGTTGTGTGTGTTTTTAAAAACCTAAATTACATATTCTAAGACAATACTGCAGAGTGCATAAAATTTAAACAGCCCTTTAAAAATCAGCTTCCGCTATGTGTGCGCTTAAAATGAAAAGCAATTTAAAAGAAAATCATGCTAAAAGAATGTCAGGAGGTCTCCTTTCTAGAGTATATTACGTTACTAACTTCAGAATATATTAAAACAGTACATCTGTCCACCATGTGGAACATATTAAAACTAAAAAATGTGTTTCTTTTTAAAGGGCCTAAATATTTCTACATACCTTTTAAAACTAATAAAATAAAACAAAGCAAAACACCAACATGAAAACCTTGTTACATTTTAGTTGGTTAGAAGTAAAACGAAAAAGCATCTTCTCACTAAAAATACCTGTTCTACCTGCCCATCTTAATTAAAAGATTTGCTACCAAAACATGGCACAGAAGAGAGAGTTAAGATTTTTAAAACATTCTCTAGAAAGGGCAGGTGACCACGTGTAAACCAATGATCCTTCCCAACCACACACCACCAGAAGAAGGTACACCTGGGATCCAATATGAATCAGGGAGTTCTGCTCTGGTTCTAGGACACAAAACCACAGGCACTTTAAGTGATGAAAATTAAACAGGTTGCAAAAAAACCTTACACAAAATCCTTAGGATTTAATAGTAAATCAAGGCTAAACGCCTTTGGAGAGTTCATATTTATGAATGTCCAAAATAACACTTGATTGACAAGTTTTAAAAATAGTTGAAAAGGTTAATTGAAGTGCTCATTAAATACAATAACATATCTACACTTTCCCCTAACTGATATGAACTCCCGGGGCTGCCCCTTCATGGAGGTCTCCTGGTCCTATTTCACATCCTCCACCCCCTCCCTCTGTTAGTGAATCCCTCTTTAGAATATGTCACTTAAAAATCTGTAAAGAACCAACAACACCTTTCAAGTATCCCCCCCCCACACACTCCAAATAAACAAACAAAAGGGGGGGGCTCTTCCTGACTAAAGAAAAGTAAAAGGAGGCCCACGGTGAGTATGTGAAGCCACAATGGAGTCCTACAAGCAGGAAGGGAGAAAAAATGAAAAACGACCCCTTTTTTAATTTTTTAAAATTAAAGGGAAGGGCACCAGGACAGTGACGGAGCCCGCCGCGGGGGCAGCACAGGCCTGCACTGGGGAGGCGGGGAGGCAGCTCTCCCAGGAACCAGGGAGGGAACCAAGGTGGGGCTCCAGGGCTCCACGGTGCACAGAAGCCACTCCAGGCCCCCACACACAGACCGCTCCCCAATCCTAACTGTCCTCACAGGGTCCCTGTCAGTCCAACGGTCCACGAGCACGCTAAGCTTACCTTCAACTGAACAACAAAGAAACACAAAACAAAATGAACAGAACAAAACAAAAAAACCAAAGCCAAAAGAAAAAAAAAGTGACAGGTTCTTAAAACTACACCTAAGAGCAAGGCCACGGCCTCCACTTTCATCCACCCCACGCCACCCCACGCGGGGGCCCGCAGGCCTCCTCCTGTGGGAAGGGCTCAGGGTCCCCCTCCCGACAGGCAGACGCCCCCCTGGCCTCCAGCCAGAGTCGTCCAGCGGACGCCTACTGAGACCACAGTGTGCCCCCCGCCCACATGCCCCTCAGCTTGACTGGCTGACTCCCCTGAAGAATCAGTGTTAGAGGAACGTTTGTTACTAACACTTATGACCTCTCCTCCATTCCACAAGACTCTCCTCTCCCCACTGCTATCGGTTCCCCTTCCCTGTCACCCTACACCTCTCCCAGCCTCCTTCCAGCAAGTCTTCTGCTTGCAGAATTAAGCAAAATGATCTTTGGAAAAAGACCTCTGGGTGCAGGATCTAAGCTCTGTCACAATTCAGCAGCGCTACAGAACCAGGCGTAAACAATTGTTTCCCCAGGACCTTGACAAACCATGAGAAGGACGACCCAAATTAAAAGTAGTTATGACGACCCCCCGCCTGGTCTCCCTCCAGTCCCCTCCCCACGGGGTGAGGGCACAGGCACCCACTTAGGATGTGGCCTGTCCAGACAGGGTTGAACCCTCAACATTCCTTTTGGAAAAAAGAGATTAGATTTCTCTTTTAGAAGAATATCAGTATAAGAATTTAACAAATGTGGCCAGACCAACGGTAATGCAAGGTTATGCTCATATAAGTGGCTAAGTGAACTTACGTTACAGCACAAAATCAAAACAAGATAATGCAAAAAGAAAAAGTAACTTGCTCCACATAATCACCTATCGGGTTTGCTTTATGAGATATATTGATATTTACTGGCTTTAAGCTCCTTGAATTTGTGAACAAATAATACACAGGTCAGGATAAACGTATTGACTTACTACCATCTTTATAAAAATTGAATATTTCACAAACACATCAACAATTATGGAACTGTATCCATTAAACTTTGATAAGACAACACAAAAGAACTAACAAATAGCTAAGATGTTGCTGAATTGAAAGCATTTCCAATAACATTTTAATTTTAAAAGGTCCATATTTACATAGCATGTTAAATGCTTCTGCATCTCATTTTAAATGCATGATAAGTAAAGAACAAAGATAATGGTTGCAACAGATCTTCCAAGAGGGTTCGGCTTACGGTGGTCTGGTCTCACTTCGAGAAGCGCACCGAACGCGGAAACAGCATGACTTTCTAATTCTGCTTCTTTCCTTTCCGCAGTTTCCTTACGGAAACTAAGCCTGTGTCGCCGGACTGGCTGGCACTAACAGAGCCCACTTCCAGGGGCTGTGTGCATTAAGACAGGCCAACTGCGCTGAGCCGTTCTAACCAGTGCTTTATGAAAGGCCCAGTTCAACTCTGCTAATGGTCTTTCAAGAATATTCTATCAAGAGAAACCTTGCTTATGTGTGTGTGTAGACAGTTACAGACACACACATGCCCCGAGGCACCATGTCATACTCAGACAATGCCAAAAGCAGACCTTAAAGCAGCCCTGAGGTCTGTCGTGAACAAAGATGCCCAAGTAGGATTAGTTTATCATCACTAACTAGAAAAAAGTATGCTTAAATGCCTACTTTTCAGACAACATGCAGATTTTTGGTTTCAAAGCCACAGCACACTCAGACTATTTCAGAAAGTGGTAAAAATCTGTTAAACTCATTTTACTGAATCAGTAAGTCCTTGGTGATAAAATAAGTCCATCAACTGTAAGCCTCCCACTGCCCAATGTGGGGAAGTGGTCTGAATCTCTCTCCATTAGAGCTCACAGCTACCAAACTCATTATTTCAACGTAGCTCTCTGTGGACTGAGCCAAATAAACTACGCTTTCAAATACGTAAACACATCTGTATCTACTTGTGAAACAGTGGGCAGTGACAGCCCATGTCAAATAGCGGATGGGCACACAGCACGGACTCCTTGGATCCTCCACTGGAGCATCTGAGGAAGGGCACCTTCCAACGGTTAGTCAGAGGCCCTTTGGAACAGGGCGCCCAGGCCCCAGGCTGGAGGGTGTCCTAGTGTATCCTATGAGCGCCTACAGTCTCCTGGAACCAAAATCTGCTCAAGAGCAGCCATTAACCACCACCTTCATTTTCCAGGCTTACTCTTAGCACACGATGCCATTTTAGAATCAAAGCTACACAAAGTCTCACAGGGTCTGGAATACTCTCCTCCAGTTCTGGTAACTTAATTTGGAAAAGTAATATAAAATTTCAACTGTGAAGACAAGATGATACAAGTTCGCATGACCTATGCCTTAGCTCCCAGAAGGAGGCTGCGAGACACGAGGACAACTTGAGCAGGGCTTCCATGTTTGCACTCTGTCCTCGCTGGCTAACCAGAGGCATTAAGTAATACCAGGCTTCTATTTCCCTTAATTCTATTAATAAATGACATGAAATCTTAGGTATAAAATACAGCTAAAAAGTCTGAGTATGCCCTAGTATCATTTGCTCAAATAGTCCAGGTCCACATTAGAATAAATCCAAAAAAGTGAAACTCTTTCATGAGCAGAAATACAATAAGGCACTTTTTTCAACGTTTGCCCAGAAGGAATTTTCCTAACAGCTGCTTTATGAGGAATAAGTGTCTCACCTAAAGGAGCCTGCCCAGAACGACTCAAGCAGGTTCAGGGGTGACACAGACACACTGCACCCGGGGCTTCGCTGTCCCAGTAAGACAGCCATTTCTCACACCACAGGCCACAAAGAATGCCATGCCAGAGTCAATGTCACCTTGCTCTTAGGTCCACTGAAGGACAGCACAGCCCCTACTTAAAAAGCCTTAAAAAAAAAAAAAAAAAAAAAAGTTAATCAAAACAATGATAACCAGGTTCCCCAAGAATGTTATATATCACAGTGCCAGTGACATGAATATGCCACTTTGGGCTACATTTAAAAAGAGGAAAAAAACAAACAGGTCTGTTCAAGCTTCAGGCTGTTGCCCCGTCTCGCATGGTAGGTATGCTACACAACCCGCCCAGCAGGGGACTGCCCTCGAGGCTGCGCAGTGAGAGCCTCAAAGACCCCTTCCCCAGGCCAGGGAAGCACAGGGTCTCCCAGCATTCCCGTCTCATCTGGGAAGGGTGCAAAAAGGGGTGAGTAGTTCCCTTTGGAACTGGGAATATATAGTTGGCGCTTTTGGAATATTTACAAGAAGCAGAATCTGCCACACAATTGGCACCACTCCCAATCCCCCTCATACCCTGCTTTCCAGGATATGCAACTGTCAATCATAATCACCCAAATTTTAATCTACATTTTTAGAAGAGCCTTTTGAGGGCTTTCTGAGAAGACAACGCAAGTTATGCTCGGTTGGGAAAACTCTTGTCTAGCCTGCACTGAAGATAAGTGCAACCATTATCAAATATTCTTTGCTGTGAAAAAGACTTAGAATTTGTGACGTTAATGTTCTTTCCTGAATCTGAGTCACTGTGATTCATCATACAGTAAGATCACGAAGAACAGTGTCTACATGCATTGTGAGCACTTTGAAAACAAAAGAAAACGAAAACTGTAGTTCTTTGTGGTGACAACAGAATTCAAAGCAATCTAACACCAAACTCCAGTCTGCCATGTCCCGTAAGTTCGGCTCTTCTGGAATCAGTGCTGGGCGGCCTGGCGCTCCGGAAAACAGTTACTGCGGACGGAGAGACCTAAGCTCGTGGGGACTCCGCGCTGGCAGCTTCCTTGAAGAAATTCCACAGCGTCGTGCAGTGCAAGGTCAGCCTCTCCTGCTAGAGGTCACTCCACGATCAGGGCCACGTTTATGTGGGACAAATCTATCATATGCCTGTGGACATGTAAAGAAAACAACCAGCATTAAGTGACCTCCACAGGTCAGCAGTCCACTTACCAAAGAGGAGAGAACTGGGGCAGAACAGGGGTCCTGATTAATGAAAATGCAGACTGATGGAGAAGACCACTGTCAACACAAGGGGACAACTGTCCACATGACGAAAGAATGAGCCGTCTGCTCTCCTCCCGCACTACTGCGCGTTCCCCCAAGAGAGGCGGGTGCACAGATGTGAGCGCCACAGCTCCTCGGACGAGACAGAGCGCAGGGCAGGCTCCCACCCCCGGCCGCCCCACGCCGCCAGAACCACGGAACATGCTGCTACCTGTGGAACTTCTGTTGAAATGCTAATGCGTGGGCTGGTTCCTTAAACTTAGCTATGGCTTTCCGTTGCTGGGGAAGCATCTGTAAACTCTAGAGGAAGAAAACAGAGAAACATTTTAATATCAACTTATATATGGTAAAAAAAAAAAAAAAAATTTATACATTAGCTTTAACACAAAATTTGAGTCCAGGCTGACACTTGGGTCACTAAAACAAACGAATTCTATCTCCCTGGCAAGTTTTGTTACCTATCCAGATAATCTATCCAAAAACAGTGCTTCAATACGTCATTCCCCTGAGCAGCACTTACATCCTCCTAGCCTGATGTTAAGACCTTCCATCATCTGGCCACATCAGCCACCTGATCTTCTCTCTAAACCTTCTCTGTGAGGCCTGGTGGCAGGTACCCTGGGAGAGTCACTTCCTGTTCTCATGCTTCCCCGTCATGTGATTTTCCACGGGGCCCTCACTAAACTTCTGAAAAGAGCAATCCTCATCACACAGGAGGAAACTGCTGTTTAGCGAGGGGACTCCACAGGGTGAAGTGGGTAGTTATCTCCTAATTATGTTTGGGGTAAATGGAGATTTCATCCATCTAGCTGGGTCACAGGGAGGGGCAGCTGTGCCTAGGGCAGACGTTGGCATAATCTGGTCACATTCTGTACTGAGAAGTTTGTGATTACTATGAGGCATCTTAACTCTTAAATTAACTCTTTAGGAGTTAAAACAACCATTCCAGAGGCCACTCTTTACGTGAAAACCAAATGAGTTCCTGAAGAAGATGAACCGAAAGACATGAGCCAACAGTGAAGAGAAGAGTTCATGGACAAGACAGCACTTGACAGAGCTGACTTCTGCCTGGTCCTCACTCGCCCTGAGGGGGCAGTGAGGCTTCCTGAGGCTCTGGGACGAGGGACTCCAGGATTGGGGAGGGGCAGGCTGAAGGGGAGCTCCACCGTCTCCCAGCCAACCCCACTCTCCAGCGTGGGAGTCTTCTCCAGCACTGTGATGACTCTGACGGCTCTGCAGAGTGCAGGGTAAGTAGCAGCCGCAGCGGGGGCCCTTGCCGACACGTGGACACGCCGGCCACCCAAAGCAGCGGCCCGGGATTGTCTGCTGTGCCTGGGCTTCTGCCTAGTGAAGCACAACAGCCAGAAAAAATAGCTGCTAACACACGACCCTGTAAAAGTGTCTACACAGGTGGCTGTTTCACTTTACAGCATATGTCAAAGATCTACAACAGAAGCACAAATCTAAAATATCAACGCCTTGGAGAATGTGCACAAAAGGTATGTTGTATACGAGTAAGCACTCTGTTTCAATAACCACAGAGAACTTCCATCAGGAAACACGACTAGGAGAGCTCTAAAAACAAACCCAATTTCCAACAAGTGCTCCACACTGAGATAAACGGTTTCAAGTCTCCCAAGCACACGGCACTCAGGTTTGCACACGGACCACCCCTCACCCCTTGGAGGAACAGTCAGACGGTCTGGGGAGCGGACCGCACCAGCAACGCAGGCGGCAGAGGCGGCCCACTAAGAAGCACTCGGCTTTGTCTGCCTGGTTTTCTGAAACAAGCTTAGCAGAACGCCAGGTTTCTCCTCCTCTTTCGGATATAAAAACTGGAAGCAGAAGAATTCTCTCGACGATTTTACTTATTGTTAAGTTCGTATGACAAGCAAAGCTCAATAACCTGGTCTTGAATTAATGTCTCTCTCTTGGACACATTCTCAGCCACATGCGTTCCCTGGCCTTTGAAATTCCACTTGTGTCACTTGACAGAGACCTGTTTTCTCTTCCAAGCTGCCAACCTCATCCCGCTGCTCGACCTATGCTGTGCCTCATCCTCGACGGACTTCCAGTGGCTGCAACTCTGGAGCTGCTCTGAGAGAGAGAACGCCCTTCTCTCCGTCACGGGTGCGGCCAGCGGGAGTGTGGGCTCAGGAGCACTCACAGAGCACCTCGCGGGGGCCTCCCCGTTGGGCCCCGCTTTCTGTCCCAGTCTTATGCTGCGTGCTCTCCCCTTTCTCGCGGGCGCTGAGGGAGAGAGGGAAGGCGCCCGAAGTGACTGCGGCAGCGTCACATTAACTGCTGCCAGCACTGTGGCAGATCTCACTGCAAGAATTAGAAGCACTTATCTAAATTTATCTTGTCTAAAAATATAATTATTATTCAATTAGCTACAAATAAGAAAAACTACTTTCTTATAATATCACAAATAATTATCCACACTCTCCAATTCACAGATGGAATCTAGACTTTGAAAATACGCTCTTCTTTTGAGAAAAAAACGTTTCTAGATTTCTGGGGTGATTTTATTTCCTTTGGGTGATTTCACAATGTGAAATGAAGGCATGAAGCTCCATTGTGACCACTTACCATATAAAGTGGTAAAACATCTGATGTGAGAAGATTCGTTTATTTGTGTGTAAGTTGTTTAAACCTCCATTTGACTGAGGAGGTATCAGTCAAGAGAGCATAAACTTTCAATGAAATTTTTAAATCACAGGAATGACTTGGTTTTCAAATAGTCAACAGGAGTAACGAGAATATTGTCTTAAAGTGTGCTTCCTGACTGTCCCCTTATATTTACATTTTTACACCTTGTTTAACAAAACAAACCCTGTTTTTGAGATATAAGATTGAATTGCAGAAATTGTCAATATTGAACCATTTCTGACCGATCAAAATGACAAACATTAGTGATTTCTTTACTGGGAGCAGAGGAAAAGACACTTTGCACTAAATTAAAAAGCTTATGAGCACCAGTTTCTGCTTCGAAAATATGTACTTCTACAGACCAGTAACACAGTTTTATATAGTTATACACCTTAGATCACTGAGAACAAACCTGAAGTTAACATTTGTCTCCAGTCTACATATTCACTCTGACCCCGTCTCCCCTACAAGCCACGGGCTGCCGGGCAGCAGGAGAGGCTGAAAGATCAACTCTCCCCTGACACACTCCTCATTCCTCAGAGACAAGACATCTGCAGACAATTTCTGAGAATAACTAACTGTGCTACCATAAGGGGCAAAGTACAAGTTACAATCCTCCTTTAGTTGGCAGTTTCCTGCGTTTATATTCAACAATCCCACTCAGGACCATTTGGCTGAAGTGCCATAAGACACTACGTTAACAGTGAAAAGCTCTGTCCATCCATGTTGTTCAGAATCTTGGCCTCTTTTCCCCAATTAGAAAAAGTGTTTCCTCTTTCTAGGAAGATCTGTCCATCTGTCCCTGTGTGCGTATGTGTACAGATAAACTAAAATGCTGCGGGGATACAGTTCCAAAAATCAAATAAACTATTTTCCCCTCTGGCAAACAATCTCTAGCACCCTCAGGAATTACCTAAAGCCAAAAATGGTGTCAAAAATGATATGCATTGTTTTAGGCACCTATAAGTCATTAGGAATGTGCACTCTCAGGCCCACCCCAGACTGGAGTCAGACACCATGGGTGGGCCCAGACTCCCAGGACGGCTCAGAGGCGCTGAGGAGCACCCAATGAGCCCTCCTCTTGCACGTGATGATACCTGAAGTCCTGGGGCAGTGAGCCTGGCCCCCACCCCATCTGTCCTTCTCTAGGCCCAGCAGTCCCGCTCCTTTAACCACTCCTCAGAGGAACGTGCAGGACTCCTCTATTCGGGTAATCTCTCCCGCACACAAGTCACTTGAACCTCCCACTGGCAACGGGGTGCCTGCAGCAGCAAGACCTACCCTACAGGGGTCTGAGCGGCAGACAGGGAAGTCTGCACCAGCATCTTGGCAGCCCCACCACAGGCTGGTGCTCCCAGAATCCACTACAGCTTCCGGGCCTGTCCACACACACAGGTACCATCACCTCACACTGCATTTTCTGGACACCAAGGCTGCCTTCTTGCTGAAGTCCCACGTTTGGGCTTCGCCATGTCCACGTCATCACTACAGGTGCCCCTGAAGCACTGTTCCTTCTGCTCTGACACAATGCAACGACATCTTGATGTCCCCTCCTCTTTTGCTTCCATCACTGGCGTTCCATCCTCCTCCTATCTTGTACAAACTTATCCTTCAGAATACACATGAGCTCTTCCAAGAGCTCATGTTACCACACTGGTCTCCTATGAATCCTCCTTTTCTTTTGGGATTATTTACAGCACTGTTTTCAAAACTCTGTGTGAGAGCCTCCAATTCACAATTTTTTCCATTATGGTTTCAGATCACGTGGCCACATCCATATATTTTCTTTAAACCTCGTGACATTGGTTTTCTGTCATCCACATTTGACCATGCCTAGTGTTTTCTTTCCCAAATGTCCTGAATGTCAAAATGACTGAAGTGCTTTCATGCAAGATCCCAACTTTTTCTACTTCACCTACCAGACCCTCCTGGTCAGTCAGAACCAGATGCAAAGAAAGCGTTCTTCTCATGGACGCATCCCACCTTCAGAGAAGGTCAGAACCCTGACATGGGCCTACTTCACAAACTGGTCAGAGGGCTCCACCTCTCTGGGTGGCCCAAGACACGCTCGGGAATGAGACACCTTCCAAGTCTCTGGTCCTCGCTGGAACTGCAATGTTAGGTGGAGGCTGGTAAACTTGGTGGGTCCCGGGGGACTCTCCTCTCCAGCCTGCAGCAAACTCCAGGACACTCCCTCTGGGACAGCAAGTCTCCCGTCGAGAGCACACGCTGACGCTGGATGAGGCTACACTCTCTCGTTCTGTCCTCACTACTTTCACACACTTTCCCTCAGTGGCACGCGGGGCCTCCTTTCCTTCACCTCCTTCCCTTCCAGGTCATGCCAGGGAAAGAAGGAAGCATTATGAGAGAGCGTTTAAGGTCTTATGCGGTTTACAAGAGTCTGATGGAAAAACCTAGACTCACGAAGGTGAGGTACTCTGTACGAAGGTTGCAAACCGAGAAATGGCAAAATTGGGACTTAAGTGAAACCTCATCTCAAAGCCTGACTCTTGCTGCTACGCCAGCTGCATTCTGAAGGGCCCATTACCTATCCCAGGGGATTGTTGGGAGACATAAAGGAAGAAGTCACTAGAGAAGAAGTGAACAGCACGATGCTGGACACATGGTGGCATAAACTAAGCATCAGCAGTTATTACTGCTGCTCACACCCAATGCTGGCCTTCTTACTTCAGTGACGGTCACCGCAGGGGACCAGTCATATATGCTCGTTAAGTGACTTCAGACTTTATGCTCTTGTGAGGAAATGACTTTTTCGTTTTTAGACCATGCGGTTTCATTTATGTACAGGATAACAAATTTTTCTTCTTAACACAATTTTAGGCCAAATCCAGCAAATAGGGAAATACAGATAAGTAAGCAAAGGAGCCTCAGAACTTATAACTACCTTACTCCCCCTCCCTGCTCCTAAGCGTTAACTTGTCTTCAGTCTTTCAGGATGGAGCAGGAGATTAGGGTTATTTCCTGGAGGGGGCCACGCCTGCAGGAACAGGTGCTGGTCACTAGAGAGCACCTGGGCGTGTGCTTAGCTGTTCACGGAACCCGCAGGTCCTAACAGAAATCCTGCAGCGCCCCTCGCTTGCCTTCCCATCTGCCCCCGCCCTTCCCCGAGAGCAAGGCACTGCATCTCCATAACCCCACAGCCCTCTCTCTTGGTCTTGGGACCCCAGGCAGAATCTTCTTTCTGCCTCGTTTCCTATTACCGCTAGTATCACTTATTCTTACTGCGCTCGCTCATCTGAAATTCTGAAACACACCACTATGCTTCTCGTGTTATTTCTCCCTTCTAGTTATAACATTTCTACAAAGTCTTGTCATTTTTCCTTATTCTGTAAATAATGAGTTAATAGATAATATCTTTAAAATGGATTTTCTAGAGAGGCCTATGGGTCTAGTTTAAGGGAATAACACACTAATCTGAAAGCAACACGGCTCCCCCGTTGCCATCCACTGCCACAGTGAGAAAGCCTCTCCGAGTCCATGGACAAAGCAGCAGCCCTGTGAAACACGCAGTCACTGCAACTTTCTGTAACTAAAAGGCCAAAGGAACCAGGGTCCCTCCTCGTCTAGACACACCACTTGCTATTACACTAAGTGAACGCGAGGTGGTGCCATAGCCCAACACACACAGAGGCTTAAAGTACATTTCTCTTCCTCAAGTCAGGAAAGCAGGAGGCCTGGGTCACTGAGCACCATCCCTTTGAAGTAGATTTATATTTAAACCATAATGAAGTCTTGTTATAAACGTCTTTCTAAAATTTATACTTAGTGTCATTCTTTAGCTATCTAACTCTGGTAGAAACTTGTTATATTAGTTGCTTTTTTTTTTTTTTTAATTAAGATACTTAGTATTTTGTGAATGCAGTGTTTAAAAATCTATAAACTCCCACTCAAAACCATCCCATGGGACTAACTGGCAAGAACACCTGCTTTGTCCCCCAGGGTGGACGAATAGGCCCTTGCATAAGTGTTAAATTCATTGCTCCACAGGGACTTCTACAGTGGCGTACGAGAGGGAGCTCACCTTCTACTTCATTTTAAGGGTAACTCATGTAACCTAGAAAACTTCATTCTCGTTTTCCCATCTTTCTCTCTCTTTCTAATTAAAACAAGCCACTAAACAACCCAACACTGTTTTTGCTCGGCTTTAAGTGCCCTCAATCAAACTTTATAACACAACGATCTCTAATTCTTTTCAGAACAGAAAAAAAAATGGCAAATGGGAGGGAAAAAAGGCCACTCAAGAGATCTATAACCACAAAATGGAAAATTCAAAGTTCAGTTTTTAAGATGGATAAGACCAAGGTTGGGTGGTTTAGCAATGGCTCCAAGCTAATTCTTGCAGTGCAGCCACTGGACCTCACACAGGCCACTGAGAAGCAAACAGCACAGCCATTCGGACATGGATCCTGATAACTGTATCATATTTAAGGATGTTCAAGAGAACTATCAAGACTACATATGATGAAGCAAAGCCCAGACAACCAGCAGGTCACACACAGAAAGCTATGGTGCTATCACTTCCCACCCCACCAGAGAGACACAGGGATGTCAGACTGGAACACGAGCCCTTGGAGAGTGCTGATCTCAGAACTAACACTCTAGGCCCTGGTTTTTTCAATCTGGACTCATTGCTGAACTGTGATTTGACCCAAATTCTCAACCACGATTTGTTTGAGAGTCTCAGATCAGGATAACCATTTTTTTTTTTCTTTGAGGAAGACTGACCCTGCACTAATATCTGTTGCCAATCTTCCTCTTTTTCTTTTATTTCTCCCCCAAACCCCAGTATATAGTTGTAAATCATAGTTGTAGAGTTGCAGCTCTTCTATGTGGGATGCTGCCTCAGCTGGGCTTGATAAGCGGTGAGTATGTCCGCACCCAGGATCTGAACTGGCGGCCGCCGAAGCGGAACGAGCGAACTTAACCGCTACGCCACCGGGGCAGCCCCAGGAAAACCACATTTTAATGAATCTAAAATTCTCTCCTGTCAGTTCTGACCCTGCAAAGTAATCCATATTATGATTAACGGGAAACAACTACCCTTGAACGTAAGCTTTACGCCTCTGAGAACTGACAAATCGTTCCCAACCACACCACGGGAAAACGACTCTCTTAAAAACAGAAGCCAAAGTTTTTGGCTAACTTTTCATTCATACAAATACAAACTAAACCTAACCATTTCTCTAGGAATCCAAAAATGAAGGTGGAAGCAGTTAAATCTAAATAACGGAGTTTTTGGAAGGGCTTTTATCTACTCCTTTTTAGTAATTCTCATTAGTAGATGGAGATTTAAAACATATTAAAAATTAATTACTTGTATCTACTCTAGTCTGAAAACGTTTCCCCATTCACTCATGAAGCAAGAGGCTATAAGATATTCTTAAAAGAAAGCACTGTGGATTACTCAGAAAGCTCACATCCACACTATACATCTTACGATTTCCTCAGCCATGTTTCCAACATGTTCTACCCTCAGACGCAGATCCTGACATGGGACGAGGGGATGTGCTGATGATGCTGTGGCTGGGGGATGAGACCTGGTGGGAAAGGCCAGAAATGGGACCACAAATACACTGCTCAAGGAAAACCAGGTCAACTCACTTCTTCGCTGGTTTACCTCCAGGGCTCCAGAAGAGATCAGAGATTTCAATGGAAAATTTTGTTTACAACAGAACTGGAGACCCATTTGTAGCCAGCTCAGCAGAGACATATAAGCATTTAGAATTAGCCAGTTTTAAAATTAAAGAGACTAAAATATAGTGCATGTTATTTCATATTTGTAAAATCTAAACGAAGTTCCATAGCTGTTAACATGTGAGGCTGTTTCTGGAAATTAAGGTCAAGAAGACTAAATACTTAAAAAAATTTTAATTATTACTAACAAAACAAGTGTGTGATAGAACAAAAAATTTATATGTATGGGTGCATATATAAACTTTAGGATAATTTGACGATTTCCAAGGATAATTTATTCAGTTGGAATAATTTCATAAAGTTTATAAATGAGCACCTGAAAACTTCCAAATCATCTAACTATCTAAGGCAGTAGTCCTGATATCAAGTGTGCACAGTAGAGAAAATCTTTGTCTTTCTTCTCAAGTGTATTATTTTAACATGAAGAAGCCAAGACAAAGGGCTTCTAAATCAAGAAATAACTGAGTCCTGGGATAGACCAAGGGACACAGACCTAACAGGCCCTGGGGGACCCACCTGGATGGGTCCTACTGACATCAGCAGGCTCTTCAGCTGGACATCAGTAGTGGAGGAAGAAAGGCCTTCAACAGACACGACGCAGGGCTGCGGCTTGCACTCCACCACCCGTAAATTCTGCTTGTTCGGCATCAGGCGCCCCCGGCCCATCGCACCTGTCGCTCCTCGGCCTCTCCCATGCATGAGGACCTGGCAACAACAAAGTAACTGTCACATTTTTAAGCTTTGGTCTTTTTTCACAGCTACTATGACATAACAAAGTGAGCAAATAACTGAGAATCCATTAAAACACACCACAAGCTATAAGATTTTCTGCAGTTTTTATCCACTATCAATCAGAAAAGGGTTTAATGTCTAAACGAGACAACAATCCCCAGCCAATCTGGGCAGAGGAAGAGGAAGGAAGAGGTCGTAGCAGAGTCTGACTCTATCTTGTGCCAAGCACGGGACCAGGCGGGCGCTCTCTGTGTCCCCATCGTCCTGTAGAGGAAGCAGCAGGGTCACAGGGCTTCAGAAACTTGCTGCAAGTAACACAGTTAAGGACTTGGGTCCAGTCCTAACAGCCCCAGAGCCCGAATTTCTCCCACCATATTCCAGGCCAATTCAGCAGGGATCAGCGAATCGTGGATGGTGCTACCCACAGCCACTACACGGTCACCACAAGTCACAACACTGCATATCCAATTCATCTCGTACATATGTGCAGCGGCCATCCTGAGAACCTGAAAGGCAGATTCTGCAACAGGGGATTCCCCCCCGGCTGCTACACATTACAATCATCTGCAGAGCTTTAAAAACAAAAACTAAAAACCCAAACAACAACGACCGAGTGCCCCCCCAGCCCCCTGAAGATACGACGTCACTGGCCTAAGGCGGGGCCCAGAGTTCAAAACCACTGTTCTGGGACCTTTTAAAAAAAGAAGAGACAGCTGATCTCTCTGGTATTTTCCAACTGGAAAATTAGATAAAGCATTGGTGTCAAGTGCTTTCTCTAAAAGAACTCCTGGGGCCAGCCCGGCGGCACAGCGGTTAACTTCATGTGCTCCGCTTCGGCAGTCCACTGGTTCAGATCCTGGGCGCGAACCTACTCACTGCTCCTCAAGCCACGCTGAGGCAGCGCCCTACACAGAAGAACTGGAAGGACCTACAACTATGATATACAACTAGGTACTGGGGCTTTGGGGAGAAAAAAAAAGAGGAAGATTGGCAACAGATGCTAGCTCAGGGCCAATCTTCCTCAATCAATCAATCAATCAATCAATCAAAATAAAAGAAAACAAAACAAAACAAAACTCTTCCTGGGTAAGCCAGTAGTGAAACGCAGGCCGCAGAGCGGAACTGAACAGTATCAGGTTTGCCAGACGTCCCACCCAAATTCTGCCCTAGAGTTTGGGTAGAAAGGGACAAAAAGGGCCTCCCAAGTCATCACAGAAAAGGGCAGAGAGGAAGGCAGAGGAAATGAGAACCTTAGGACATCCACAGTCACCCCTCTAAAGGAGACACAGAGCCGCAACATTTCCTTCTTAACAGTGTGCAGAAGGGAACAGAACTACTCCTGTGAAGTGAGTTTTTGAAAAGTGCAAAAGGACATTTCAAGAGAAGTCACACTGGAAAATACACATCAAAAGTTGCAAGTTACACTGGCTGGAAACCAGTAGTAAGTAACTATTCTATGTTCTAACTACGCTAAGTTATAATATTAATAATAACATCCTTTACTAAATGCTTGCTTACATGCCAGGCACCACGCTTTCTACATGCATCTCCTTATAAAATCCTCACAAGAACCCAAATAAGACAAGAACGATTACTGTCCTCACTTTATAGGAGAGTAAACTGAGGTTTAAGATGTAGAAACTCGAGTGCTTTATTTATGTATATAGCTGTATAGGGGTGCCGGATGTACTTTTCTAAGGTCTTTCTTTTCATATATCCAGGGACAACACCTGACTGAAGAAAATTTAGACTGGAACAATCTTTAAAGACTATACCTGAAGATATGACTTCATGTGTCTATATCATCTGTCTTCTACTGCAAAAATGGAGTAATTTTGTTTGCCCCCACATTGCAAAGTGTTTATGAGATAATACGTAATGTGTATATATGTATGTATACATATATATAATGTACACGCAGTATTTTAAATACTTCTAAGACCCCTTCATATTAATACTACTACTTAGCATCAGTAGCAAGACAAGCAGATATGATGAACTAGTGGACTCCAGGGTTTCCTAGAAGAGACTAGAAGCCAGTGCTGCTGCCCCTTTTCCTCCCTTGCATGATCTCATCAGACAAGAGGTACCTGGCTACTGCGCCAAGAGGGGACTTGACTGTCAGCAGGAGAGGTGAAGGCTTTGGGGAAGCTACCAAGATGCCCCTCACTAGAAGCTGAGGGGACGGGTGCTCTATCACCAGGACATAACGAGACAAGGTGGACACACCTCTCCTAGGGAAGGTTTTAAATTCAGCACACAAAAGGAGAACATTCACTCCCCCAGAAGGGGTACTAGATGCCCACGCCTTTTGTCTAACAGACTGAGCTCGGAGAAGGAAAACACCCCTTCACTTCACAGTGCGAGGGAAGGAGGAAAGAAGGCAGGATCACTACCCCTTTCTTGGGCAGGCTACTTCACCCACAAAGGCCTCAGTCTCCCACCTGTGAGCTGGGGCACTGAGGAGGAAACGGACGAGGGAACACCTGGTTCTCCATCTGCAGAGTCTCTGGAGAACCAGTGGGCAGGGGAAGGAAAGCATGCCAGGCTGGGGCTCGGCTTGCAGGGCTGTCTCCAGAGCACAGCTCAGAGCTGCAGGAACAACCACACCCTTGGTTGTGGGCAACATCCCCGAGTTGTACCATCAAATAAGCCACAAGAGGAAAAGCGCTTCTGTGAAACGTTAGCCTTCAAAGCCAGAACAAAGGAAACAATGGCTCATTTACTCATTTATTTGATCACCCCTACTGTTCGCCAGGCACTCCCATCAGAGAACCGTCTCATTGCCGCCCGCTCTAACTAGCAGGACATCTACAAGTGCACGGCCACCAGGTTTCATGTTCCCGTGGGGCGGGCTAAGGAACGGGCAGTACCTTCTTGGCCGGGTGAATTCCTTGGATGCTCTTAATGCCTGGAGGGCCGGCTGAGTGCACGTGGGCCCCCACTGGTGGATGCTGGGGTGGCTGAAGGGCCCCCTTGGTCAGCGTCACCTTGCGGGCAGGCTGCTGTCTCACTTCTGGGGGCTGAGGGAGCCTCTGGGGCTGGCCTTCCGGGTGAAAAAAGCCGTCGCTCTCTCCTCCCTGCTGAAACCAACAACGCAGCACACTGGTCAGTATCTGCGCAGCCAGACACCCCACCCCAGCATCAGGGCGTCCGCCTCGGTTAGTGTTCAACTGAGACACAAAACCATCATGCAAGTGGAAAACCAAACCTGTCATTTCACCAAGTCACTAAGAAAATTTCTCATTTGACAGTGTTTGGGTTTTAATAATATTTTTGAAATTTATAACACTAAGATCTTTAATTACTGTACCCAGCCAAGAGGTCTATAATTAAAGTTTAAGTGCTATTTAGTTCAGTGAAACTTAACTAGCTTAACTTTAAAAATACTTCATCTTCAACATCCATTTTCCATTTTCATGAGCATTCTTGTTAAAATCTGACAGTTTGCACAAGCAATAGTTTTAAACCGGTAACTCCTATCAAACCTCACATAAGCAGGCTATCACCCTGACTCATCCCACGGGTTGTGGCGGTAAATCTCGGAGCATGCCCAGCGTCTTCTCTCCCCTGTGGACACAGCACTGAACACCCCTATTCTCGACACGGCGCTCGGAGGCAAGGAGCACCCTAGTCACCCTTCCTCCTGCTGAGTCACCAAGGATTTCAGAGGAGGAACTCATATATTCTAGTAAGAGCTTTACAAGCATCAGAAATCTAACATTTTGTGTTTTACTAATGTTCTTTCATTTCTTGACCTTAAAAACTGTTACTCAATTAGGAAGCCAGTACACTGTCAAGCTGCACTACTGATGTTCCTGATAACACCAGGCAGCGTAAAACACCTCTCTAGACGGGGCCTAGCAGCTACATTCAGGATTAAGTGTGGCATCTTTCAACAGAGGAGCTGGTGGCCAAGAAAGAAAATGGACAGCAAGAAAATTGGATCTTGCTCTGCTAAATTACGTAATCTTAAAAATGGATGCTTGAACACGAAAAGTAAGATTCAGATGTTTAGTAGCCTCAGCTCCTTACATAAATAGGACTATATTGGTTTGTGGTTAGTAAACCTTCTTCACGCATACTGCTCAGCTATGCCAGTATTTCCAAGAGGAACTTGGTAAATTAGCTCAGAAGCAGCCCATATATTCTATGCCTCTCTCTTTCCCCTCTAAACTTATCTTTTAAAGACAGTTTAATGGAACAAAGGGAAAGAACAGAGGCTGGAACAAGATGGGTGTAGATAACATTTTTGCAAAAACTGCCCAAAGTAATGAGACTTAAGAAAAAATGAGATTAAAAAAGTCGCATGGGGCAGGACTTCTGGCTATGGCAGCATGAAGAGGCTGCAAATTTTCTCCCCCAAAACAAGGGTATAATTGGACAACATTGTTCAGAACAAGCATTTTAAGACTCTGGAAACTAACAAAAGTGAAACCAGAAATGGAGCAGGATCTATTCCTGAGACCTGGAGCAGTGCCTCTTTGGTCCTGCTGACAGGGAAGCCCCCAGTGACAAAGGGGTTTTATCAGGACAGGGCAGGGCAGGAAAACCCGGAGGGCAGACCTGGTTTGGTGTGGAGGCCCCAGCAGCACTGTCGGTAAAAGCAGCCAACTAGGCAGGAAGGGAATGGGCAACACCCACAGATCTACGGGCCTCTGGTCTTGGTCTTGTTTGGAACAGCAGCAGACCAGCCAGAAATCCGGAAACTTAACAAGGAAATTCTGGAAATGAAAGAGCTACTGAAGGCCTAGAAATGTCCTCCACAGTAGGCTGACTGGGAGGCTCACTCGTGCAAGGGACCCCGGGGGCCTGGCAGGAAGGAAGAGCTGAGGGGGGTTCTGAGTGCACACTCCTACCCACATACAGATCACCAGCCCAGGACTCAAGGGACATGGACAGTTTTCCTGAACGAGTGGCTGACCACTAAGCTGCGCAGCAACAGGGTTGACTCTAGGAAACCAGGCTAAGAAATAAAAATAAGAATAAAAAACTGAGCAAAAAATATTTTGAAACTTTTTTTTTTTTTTTTTTTGCTGAGGAAGACTTGCCCTGAGCTAACATCTGTGTGAATCTTCCTCTATTTTGCATGTGAGTCACCGCCACAGGATCGCTGATGAATGATGTAGGTCCACGCCTGGGAACCAAACCCGTGAACCTGGGCCACTGAAGCAGAGCGCACCAAACTTAACCACTAGGCCACAGGGCTGGCTCCTGAACAAAAGATATTTTGAACTGAATGAAAGTGAAAATACAACATATCAAAATCTAGGGGATACAATTAAAGTAGTCATATAAGAAAGGAAAACACATCTAAAATCAATAACTTGAGGTTTTATCTCAAGACGCTAGAAAAAAAATAGGAAATCAAACCCCAAACAGAAGGAAGGAAATGATACGATCATAGTGAAAGGCAATGGCATAGTAAAGAGAAAAACAACAGAGAAAAGTCAATGAAACCAAAAGTTGGATTTTTGAGATCAACAAATAACCTGACTAAAACTGACCAAAAAAAAAGGAGAGAAGAGACCAACAATCAAAGTCAGGAATAAAGGAGGGATCGTCACAACTGGCGCTGTGCTGCCTGAAATGTGGTTTTGCTGGGGTCACTCTGACCTCACGGAGGACCCCCCCAGGTGACAGTGGAAGCACTGTGGGAAGACAGGCACTGCAGGACCACGAGACACACAGGCAGGCTGCCCATCTGTGCTGCTTGAGACTTCTCCACAAAGTCTTCTATCCAAGGTACCCCAGCCAGGCAGGTATAACCTATTCTAAGTGCATAATTTTCCAGTCTTTATCTTAAAAAGCTATGTGAACTCTCTCTAGTTTTGTATATGCTTGAAATTTTCTATACTAAAAGGTTGAAAAATTTGAGAACATATCACATCTCCATCTTTCTTAAGAGTCAGTGATCTATCATTTATTAATCTATCTAAAATCCTATTGAAATTACATCAGTAGAAGACTCATCAATGCACTATGCATGTGTTAAGTCATACTGTCCTTAAACACATCCCTCTTTCTCACATGGGGTGACACCTCACACTTCGCTGGCTCCCAGGTCCCACGAGAGGCTGTGCGTTAGGTACAGGTGGCACTGGGTCACTCAGTTCTCCACACAGCACAGCTACACAACAGTCTACTGACTGATTCTCCAACTTCTACCCGTTTTACTAATGTGCATGAATGGCCAGGCTGTATACAGTTAGCTCTCTGGGGAACTTTTCCATCTTATGGACTTAACGCATCTAAATCAGCTCCCTGACGAGGTAAGGGTTTGAAGATACCCGGAGCACACGCCATCTTGTAACTGTCTAGAGAGGGCCGGCTCCGTGGCTTAGCAGTCAAGTGCATGCTCCACTGCTGGCGGCCCGGGTTCGGATCCCGGGCGCGCACCGACGCACCGCTTCTCCGGCCATGCTGAGGCCATGTCCCACATACAGCAACTAGAAGGATGTACAGCTATGACGTACAACTGTCTACTGGGGCTTTGGGGGAAAAAATAAATAAATAATTAAAAAAAAACAAAAACTGTCTAGAGAAACCAGTGGTGTAGACTCTAGTAAGTCTGTTTTGTTCACCCAGCCAAAATTTCTTGTGCACGTAGATGGCACTGAAATATTTATGGAATAAATCAATAAATAGTAGATCATACTTTTTAAAACTTGAGTAGTTATGAATGTGATATTAAAGAGATTATAGTATCAGGAACTTGGGTTATAGCTGCTATCAGTTACTACACACATATTTATTCAATGTCACCATGATACTAAAAAGGCCAGCCTTCAGCTCAGCAGTACTATTACATGCATCAGAAAACACTATGCCACGTTGCAGAAATAGATAATTAGCTAGTATCTGCGGCCTAAAAGGACAACGGACAACAGGATGAGTACTGTGATTTTTTTCTTTACCAATCCAAAGCTGAAAACAAGATGATCTAGATAGTAAACTTCAATTTAAAAAGAAGAGCCTGCACCAAAAGTAGGATATTATTATTCGCCGATTCTAAGGTTTACAACGTGTATATGCATTTGAGTGACGAACATATAACATTGTGTGATCCGATGATTTTTAAACTGGGAATAGAGAACATAAGCATTTAGTCAATAAATATTCCAAATAATAAAAATTCTCTTCATTGTTATTTTGAGTAAGAGACGGGTGATAATTGATGTCTGAAAATATTAATGTTAAATAAGAACCCTGAAAAACAAAGTTCTAAACTTCTATTTTCCTTTCAAAAAATATTTATTTATTTATTTATTTATTTTTTTGCTGAGGAGGATTCATCCTGAGCTAACATCTGTTGCTAATCTTCCTCCTTTTTTTTTTTTGTATGGAAGCCGCCGCCACAGCATGCACTGTGGTACGGGTCCACGCCCAGGAACTGAACTGAACCCAGGCCGCCGCAGCGAACGCCAAACTTTTTAACCACTAGGCCATCAGGGCTGACTCGAAAAAAAGTTTACTTTTTTAAGTAGGCTTGATCCCCGTTTAAAGTTCAGAACTACAGGTATCACAAAAACCCTCTCCATTGAGGGCTTCCTAAGAGACCACCTGAAAAGACACGGGAACGAACATCCATGCTTCGGCAGTTTCTGCAGATCTGGACCTCATCTCTCTCGGCTCCCTCATCCACTCTGTCCTGCCACACTGGCCTCCTGGCTCTGTCTCCAGCGCACAAACCCATCCAGCCTGGGGGCTTTCTCATGCTTCTCCCTTCAGGGGACGCCTCAACCAGCTACCTGCCTGGCATGCTCACTCGAGGAGGCCCCTGTGAACAGCACTCTCCAATCCTACTGTTCCCCAGGCCACTAACTGCTTTCTTTTTCTCCACAGTATTAATCGCCACTCTCAGTTATGTCATGTTCACCAGAATGGGAGCCCTGTGGGAGGCACTGGTCACCACAGCATCCTCAGGACAGAGAACAGAATCGGGCACAGGGCAGGGAGACGACAAACACTTGAGTCACTGATGAACACAGAAAGGGGGATGTTTCAGGAAGAGACTACAATGACTGCCCAACTTTTAGGAAAAGCTGCTCCTATCAACTGCTTACTGAAAAATGGGAAGAAA